AAAATTTTGGTTTGATTCTAAACATTATAAGAAAATTGGCATGACATTTTCGGTGTCGCAATAATTTCGTGTTCGCCCTTTAGTGTGTATCAAACTCTCTTTACCCAGCGATGCAAATCGATAACAAGGAGATTATAAATGTGCATCGATGGCAATATTTATTGTTCTTTGCCAAAGTTCAACGTTACCGATGGTGGTATCAGTATTCAAATATTTTTAGATGAATATTTATAAAGAAAACTATAGTCCTTGTGACACATCGAAATCAGAAGAAATTTAGTATGGCATCTATAAAGATGCGATCGACCGTCCGATGCGACCGATAAAGAAATTATCTGAAATGTAAGTATCGACCAATAAAGGTTTTTAAACATATTCATCGAAATCAAAGAAACTTGAAAGTAAAGAATTACCAACATCAATCTTTATTTTTGTATAAAGAACTTTGAAGAAGTTTCACGAATGGTTGGTCGGGAGACTTGAACGGAGTGCTTTATACTGCGACTGGCAGCACTAACTAAAGGGTGTCCCACATAAAATTGCATCACGGAAAAAAAACGCTGTAAAAAATTACCCATTGGGTATATTTTCTTGGAAATTTGGGTATAAGTAGTTTAGAGTGTATTGTTTACGCTGTATTTTTATCGCTGTCAGTTTTTCAAAAGTTGGAAAAAATGGCAGGAACGTCGCGAATTGATTTTGCGCAAGCACCTGGAAAATCCTCAACTCTCTCATCGGGACATCGGAAAACAACTAGGAATCGTGCAGTCAACGGTGAGTCGTCTGATTAAACGTTACTACGAAACTCTGAGCATCGAACGGAAGGAGAAATGCGGTCAGAATTGATGTTCTATTAGTGATCAGGATCACATGAGTGTCGTGAAAGCGTTTAAGCGGAATCCCAATGCTGGGATGTGGCCAAAAGTTGAATCTGTCCAAGGCTTTCGTTCAGAGAGCCAAGCATACTTACAAAGTGCAGAAGGCTCCAAATCGTGACGAACGGTAAAATACGGTGGGAAAGTCACGGAAACTGTACACCCAGATGCTGACGAAGCCTCATTGTCTCATCATGGATGATGAGACTGACGTCAAGGCGGACTTCCGGCAGCTTCCGGGGCTACTGTTCTTAACCGCCCAGCACAAGTTTGATATTCCGGAGGAAGTAAGGAAGCAGAAACTTTCAAAGTTTGCCAAAAATACATGATTTGACAAGCGATCTACTCATGTGGCAAACGGAGTGCGCCGTTCGTTACTACCGGGACTGTAAACGGTGAGATCTACCTCAAGGAGTGTCTACAGAAGCACCTGCTTCCTCTGTTGAAGCAACACGAGGGCACTACGATCCTCTGGCCGGATCTAGCTTCGTGCCACTACAGTGGGGGAAATTCGTTTAAACGCAATGTCATTTTTGCGTTTATTTTCAACACAAAAGATCGAGACAAAAAATCAAATATAGTTTGTCATAGCCCATCAGAAGTCTCGTATTTGAGAACACAATTTGATTGGAAGTTCATAATGACTTTTGAAAAAATCCCAAAAAAGGTGATTTTGGGGGGGAAATTCGTTTAAACGCACTTTTAGTTTTATTAATCAAATCGAGTTCACAGTTCAAAAATCAACAATAAACAATAGTTAATACTTCGTTTGCTTTCCGTTTTTCTGAATAGTTTCGAAAATTCTGTTCGGCATTGATTTCACCAGCTTCTGCAGAGTTGTATCAGGTATCAAGCTCCAGGCTTCTCTTACGGCTGACTCAAGTTCACGAACTGTTTTAAACTGCCTTCCGCCTTTGTAAACCTGTCGTGCCAGGATGCCCCACAAGTTCTCGATAGGATTTAGATCCGGACTACGAGCTGGCCAATCCAAAAGACTGATGTCTCGTTCAGAAAACCATTTCAAAGATTGCTTGCTGACATGAATTGCTGCATTATCCTGTTGAAATACGAAATTTTCCGGCATAACGTCTTCAGTAAACGGGATCAAAACATCTTCCAGAAGCTCCAAGTACTTTCCCGAATTCATCCTGGTTGAAATGGTGGCAATAGGGGTCTTTCCATGGATCGAAAAAGCGGCCCAACACATTAGAGTACCACCTCCAAAGTTCCTGCTCAACTTAACCTGCGGAGATTTCCTCAAATCGTGCCAATAATATGCGGTGCAGTCTGGGCCGTCCAAATTGAATTTCTTCTCGTCAGAAAAAATAACATTGTCCCATTCCGTAGTCCAAGACATGTATTTTTTAGCGAAATTCAATCTGGCGCTAATGTGGGCCGGTTGAAGATTGGGTTTTTTTGCTTTTTTGGTGTACTTTAAGTGGCAACTTCCATGTAGAATCTGCCGTACACGCCTCTTAGAAATGGAAAGCCCCATTTCTTGCTTGATTTGCGCAGCAGAGAAGTTTCCAGAGTCTCCCATTTGTATGATTTGGTTTCGGACACGGTTGGTGATCTTCGAATTTCCCTTTGTTTTCTTTTTTACGCCATACGTCTTGCCTTTTTTCAGCAGGTTCCTGATTGCTGCTTCCGATCTGTGGATCACACGTGCAATTTTGCGATTGCTCTCACCGCGACTTTTGAGTTCTCGAACCAGTATTTGCTCCGACTGGCTTAAATACTTTCCTTTACCCATTTTGCCGAAAACAAGCAACAACTACCGCGCAACGCAAATTTAAACTCGTGTTAATGGCGAACGAGGGCTATACAGTGTAAATATGACAGATGCGCAAGATAACAGGAGCATAGGTACGCTCAATGCGGCTTTACGTTAGTGTGCGTTTAAACGAATTTCCCCTCTAAAATCACCTTTATTGGATTTTTTCAGAGACCACAATGAACTTCCGTTCAAATTGTGTTCTCAAATACGAGACTTCTGATGGGCTATGACAAACTATATTTGATTTTTTGTCTCGATCTTTTGTGTTGAAAATAAACGCAAAAATGACATTGCGTTTAAACGAATTTCCCCCACTGTATTCAAATGTTGTCCTGGAGTGGTACGAAGCCAACGGGGTCACTTTCGTACCCAAGGACATGAAACCCCCCTCCCCCTAACGCACCGAAATTAAGGCCCATCGAAAAATACTGGGCTATTATGAAGCAGGCACCACGGAAGTATCCCAAGGAGGTCAAATCTGAGGAATACATGAAAAAAAAAGTGGGTTTCCGTACAGAAGTAGCTGCAGACAGATGTTGTACAGAACCTAATGAGTGGAGTTAAGCGTAAGGTGCGAGCGTACGGTTATGGTATTGACGTTGAATGAAATAAATATGCCAAAAGCTTACCAGTGGACGAGCCACATTTAATCGAATGCACTGGAGGAAAAATGACTTGAGAATGTATGGTGAAATTCAGTTTTAATTAAAATCATCAATACACTTTGTACGAAACATTATTTCTGCATAGCGATATTACTACAAGAAATAAAATGGAGATGGAATATTTCACTTGAAATGCTGAACATTCCTAAGCATTTAACGTTTTCTTTACAGAAAAACATAGAAAGTTCAAGAAACGTAATATGTTAAATTCAAAATATTCAAGGGGTAGGTAACTCCACACGCCAATCTTGGGTCATCGTTTTTGTCAGTGTGCCGCAGGTGTGCCGATTGTGCCGGTCATAGAGCAAGTTACGATTGTTTGTAAAATACCCATCCCGACAACCCGCTATGTCTGACACCTTGAATGTTTTGGTTTGAAATAGCAAGGATAAATCTGATTGAGGATGGCGCGGGAAGTGGCAGGTGTTTTACGTTCATAGGATAGTAAAAGTCATGTGTTGTAGGGTTTCATAATGCCCTAAAAGGTGCACCAGAAACCTAGCCTTTCGTGCTGTGAAAAGCAACAGTGTATCAGCAGCTGGAAAGAGAACTTTGGAACCGGTGGAGAACATTGTTGGAGACCAACTAGAGAGGATGATGAATAGACTTCTGTAGTTTGTTTTTTTTTTTTTTTGTAAGTTGCAGCATTATTTGAATTAAAGGTACTAATCGTATCTGATTAACTGCCTCTTTCTCTTGAGCCCACTCTAGAACATACATTTCGTATTTAGATCTATAAGTGAACTGCTGGTCTAAGTTCCTCTGGTATATTCAATTAGAGGATGTTTCTGAATATACAGTCAAACAGAACGTAATGTTGGCCGGAGACGAACCATCGTTCGGATGAAAGTTTACTTAATAAAGATAACCAGCCAAAGTAATGTTGTGAACAACTTCAATGGCAGTTGTCCAGCAGTGCTCCCATTTTATTTACAACTAATCCAATGCCTACGAGATTGTGCCGATGGATGTGCTAAGCTGTGCCGAATCTAATTTCGGCACAATGTACTGAGTGATTTACTCCTTGAAAATATGACATGGTGACTCTCAGTAAGTACAACATTACAGCCATTTGCTTGAGTACTATAGAAGACACCAAAACAGCATTGAAAATCTAATGTGCATTCCATGATTGTTGAAACAAATCCAGATGGATGATTATAATAAAACAATTTATTGATAATATGTTGTATGGGAAAAAAATGATTTGGATTTTTAACTAAACAATGCTCAAACCATGAAAATTAGTGTGATGAAATCAGATTTGCTCGAGTGAAATCAGTTTTTTTTTATTGTTGATATACTTAACAACCCCCTGTTTTGCTGTAAATTTCTCATATATCATGATTTTAATTGTAGTGAACCATGAATTTCGATGTGAGTTTAAGGTAATCGACAAAAATGTCCAATGTTTTAACAGTAAATTCATGGTTACAATGACAATGAAAATCATTGTATTTTTATTGGATTTTTTTTACGGGTTAGCAAATGATTTCAAAAATCCATTCATGTTCCACGTAAAACTTCTACAAATGATAACGACGGATGATTTGGCAAGTAATTAATATCTTGACAGATTGTGGAAAAAATCAAATCAACAATCATTATGCAAGTGATTGAAAGGATATGCATCATACATATAGGAAAAGTCAAAGCAATAGTCAATCTGCGCCGGGTACTTACATGTGTGCAAACAGTCGTTGACGGTAGTAGCCTCGATCAGGTAGCCGGTGCACAGCGAACAGGTTAGGCTGTCATTAAAATCTTTAACTTTCCTTCTATTGGTTCGACCCGTGGCACCACTGACAGTGACAGCCACCTTCGTGGTGGTCACAGTCGTCCCCGGATGATCCGCAGCCGTATTGGTGTGCAGCGCGGAAGCAGTTGTCATTTTGTGTGTTTACGTTTTCAGTCACGAGGGAATTTGTATTATTTTTTTCTGTTTTCTTCTAGTTTCTTCACTCTGGTTGCGCGCGCGCAGAGGTCCACCGGATTTGGACCCCGTTAATGTGTGCTGCCGTGCTGTCGCCCGGTGCTCACACTGCTGCTCCTCCATTCACTGGTGGATTTCATTAGCAGCAACAGCGCTAATTGCATCGTGTTTCTGTAAAGAAAGACACATCGGGAAGACCTTATAAGTCGGAATCGCTGAAAATATTATTTAATTAAATTAAAATTAATTTCGGAACATAAAATTTAATGAATGCCTAATAAAAACCAGGAGAGGAATATAAAACAGGCACGCACCCGCGAGGCCGACCAGGAAAACAGCGGAGAAGCAAAGCACTTGAATCGAGATACTTCAAGTTTCGGCTTGAAAACACTGCTTGACCGAAATCGCGACGACGACGACGACACGAGCACGAGTACCGGGAGAGACAGAGAAGCTTGCGAAACACTCCACCGATATTCTTCTTCTTTCTTTCCTGCTTTTTATCACCACTGTTGACTCCTTTGATCGTTGTTGTTGTTATTGTTGTTCGCACAATTATCGAAACGTGCAGTATTAATATCACCCGTGTGTGCTGCTGTCGTATAATCCAGCAACGCGAAATAAGGCAACACACAGCACTGCTTACATTGCCTTCACTCCCGACTCTGATCACCGTTTGGGCCGATGAAAACAAACCCAACAAAATTGGCTGAGTGTGGTGTTGTACAACACACTTTTCACTCCGTAAGGGTACTCTCCGGTGTGCGGACGATCTCACTACTGACTGCTGGCTGGCCGTGTGTGTGCAAGAGACTATACCAACTAGCTGCTGCGGCGAAAACGACAACGAGTCGTCGACGACGGCTTCGTTCCTACGGGCGAAGAGTATCGTCATCAGTTTTGGCACCCACAAACACCAAGGCACCGGCGGACCCACCGTGTTCCATCATGACGAGTTGAACCTCGGCACACACTAGCACACTCGCCTGACCATGCGTGGTTGACGCGAGTGCGCTTGCTTCTTCTCGTGCCACGGGTGCCACGAAGTGCTCTCACGATTGTGATGTGGGGGTTGCCAGATCCATTTGAGCACTTTCGAATCCTGGTATTTTGGCTGTTTTGTTGCAAAAACGACTAATATTTTGAAATTAGTCGCATATTTACCAAGCAAGAAGACTTTTCCGAAATTATTGGACATTAGAATGAAGAAAATCAAATCAATCTAAATTACTTTGAAACAAAAGTGATATAATTTTCATGGCAGAGAAAACTCATGAATGGACATGTTCGGGTATCATTGCACAACACTTGGCAGCACTGCCCATTTGGCACCGTTTGAAGTCGGGCACTTTTGGGGGAGCCGTATTTAGAAAATCGATAAAAAAGAGAACGAGAATAATTTGATGTTTCCACAAGAGCTGCGAGCACTCTTCCATATCCATCCGTCCGCTATGGGGTAGCTAGCTGATGCGAAGAGAAGGTCGTTCGGATTGAGAGAAAACTACGACGTACTTACGGTCTATCCGACGAGCTTGGCTATCTATCCATCTACACATACAACGATGGCGAAATGCCAGTGCAGGGAAATTTTACCATTTCGGGTGGCAAAATGCGGCAATCTGTATGCGTACGGGTCCGGTGGTGGTGTGGTGTGGACGGGATCATGACCAGCGGGATGGGAACAGGTGAGTGTGTATAGGTTGGAGTATGTTGTTTTTTTTTACTACGATAAGTACGGAAATTGCCCAAGACCTGTGGCAGAGGAAAAATTTCATCGAACCTCTGGCCTTCATGGGAAGGTTCTGGAAAATTTCTGCGGCGTTTTCGATGAATATGGTGGTCTTTGGGTGATATTTATAGATCATTGTGGTGGAGTGGTCATCACTGGCTAGCTATGTATTGATTTTCCATCGTTCACATGCTCTTGTATTTTCGCACGGAAAATTAAGTTTTAAATTTTCACAAGAAATTAGGCATTTACCGGTTAGTTTTTGAGGATCGAATACAGCAATTAAATTTCTACTGAAAACAACCAAAGCATACTTTTGACCAATTCCACACTCCTATTCTACCCTCGTAGAGTATTTTCCAATGCCTTACACACTAAGATTATTTTACCGAAATCTCAACAGCCGAACGTTCGGTAAACAGTTCGGTGATTTTTCACAGATTTCACAGAATTTGTGAAAAATCACCGAACGTTCAGCTGTTGAGATTTCGGTAAAATTTCGCAGATTTCGGTAAAATAATCTAAGTGTGTATATATGACCTGCTAGGAGCTGTCCACAAAATGCGTAGACAGTTTATATACAGTCCCTTATAGCTTTTGGAAATCCCTATCCCCCATAAATGCTACGTCAGTCTCTTAAAAAAATATTTAATAAAGGTCCATACCCAATTGAAATGGCTAAAAAATGCATACCACAAGTACCTGCAGGTATAAAACAGACCCCAATTAGTGCTCCTTAGCCTTTTGTCCAGTAACTTGTGAGGAGTACGAGTAACTATAGGAAAGATCGTGTAACCAACCCAGATGGAAGGGCCTTTCCGAGCGTCTGTTCTCATGTTGGGGACGGCTTCAAACAACGTCTGTTCTCCTTGTTAGGAGTGGCTGATCATCATCCTCGAATCAGCATGGTACTCTAATCAGTGCTGTGCACGATGATCCTCCAGTGAAACAAATTCTCAAATTCTTGAGAAGTAATCGCATTCTGGAGCACTGTGTGAGGAGCCATGTGGAGCGGTCGTATGTTATTATTAGTCCCGGGCTTATGGATCTATTGGAGTTTTTCGGCTGTGTTATTGTGGACCGGTGATCGATGGAAGACAAAGACAAGTTATACATTCTGCGGCTGGAATCGAATGGAAGAAAATCGCACGGAATGATTATTATTCATGTTAGCTTGGCAGTGGATAACGTGGAGCATGATTTGAGGCCCGTGGAGAGCGGATCCGGTGGGTTGTCGTCTTTTTCGTACTCCCGTTGTTTTTGTGACGTTGAGGCTCAAGACACCGTCACTCAATTCTGATTCTTCATCTTAGACTGATGCAAAATTTGAAAGTTTCGCTCCACAGTGCTCGAATACACAAAATTAATATAAACTGTTGGTCAAATCTCTTGGTGAACAAAATAAAACACCAAGAAAATCAATTCGACTCCACTTTTTTACTAGCGAACGTAAAAGAATCATTGATCAAGCGTTGCCAGATGTATTACCCCTAGCAGTGAATATAAGTTTATTAAAACATGCAAATACGAAGTTTAAACCAAAAACTTAGATGACTGGATGTTTTTAATGGTGAATAAATATCAAAAACTGAATACATAAAACTAAAAGGACCTTTTTAAGAACTTATTCGTTCCAGTTACAAAGGTAAAAATTGATTGAATTAAACACAAACAGGGAAGATGGCAGCATTGCATGTAGCCTCTTATTGGCTTTCCCGCTCAGGGGTGTAAATTAAATTTCATACAGCGTGGTTTGGCGGTGTGAATGTTTTGTCTACGTTTATTACCAGCGAAATGGCCTCGATCGCACGGGATTTTTTGTTCGATCGGTTTAGATTTTCGCTATTTTCAAAAATATTTCTGAATTCCGGAAAGCATGTTCCGCAAGGTTCATTTCTAGATCAAATGAAAGCAAAGCTGGCTCCATTTTGATTCGTTGTGTCCGCACCACTAGACGTTATTGAAATATGTTCAAATTATTTACCAAAAATCAACGACAAACGACAAACATATTAAGGAGTATCATAGTCACATTGCTTGCTCACAGTGTTTGTGAAAATTATCGTCGTTTTCGTTGTATCCGTCGAACGACTACAACAACTCGATCAAAACTGGTGTGATGTGACATGAGGGGCTTAAAGCCTTAGACCGACCTCTTTTGCTTATTGAACAGAATGTCAGAGTTTAATTTCATGCCCCTCTTTATTCCAGATTCGAGTCGCATTTTTTCACTCGAACCTATCACTATAATTTAACGTACCGTTTGCCAAAACGAACCTTACTGCATACCCAACCCTCTTATCCAACATCCCAGTAATTTATCGTGGGAGTGTACACATTCCTTCTCAATCCTTTCTTGACCTGCATTTGGACGAAGTCGGCTGGTATTGCCTAATTTTAGATTACCAGTTTTTGCACATTAATGATGATTGCTGGTTCTCTGTGTAATTACAGCTGATCTAACAATAACAGAGTTGTATCCGCGGACGGTCAATCATCCCAACTAACATTTTCAGCTTTATAAGTCAACTTTTCCAGCATTGTGCTGTAAAGTAGCTGAACAAAAAGCTGCAGATACGGCTACAAGCAGAAGCTAGCAAAATAATTTTGGAGAGCGTTTACTCAACTTTTTCACAACCATTATTCAATTTGTCAGTCGCACTGAATAACAACAGCCAATAAACGCTAATGTCACTTTTATACACATGCTAATCAACTTTCAACTTGTAGCTGCAAAACAAAGCTATTAAAGTGAATATGTTGCTCATTTGATGGCTTCTATACAAACAACCACTCTTACTGAATAACATAAACATCAAAAGTGCGTTTTCAACAACTAAACAACCTGTGTTAGCGCTACTTTGGAAGCATTTTTACAGTCAGCTAGGTTTATTTTTAGACGTGTGCAGTTTTACAGCTTTTACTTTGCTCCTTTACAATGCTTAAGTAACTAGTCGAGAAAAGTGATTCATATGCACTATTATAAAGCCTCTACTCAACGGTATTATTGTAGAAAGTCATGTATATTTGTTTTACGTCAGTTCAAAGTGTTGGCGCAGCGAATCTTGAGTCTGAATCTTGAGTTTGATTCCAGGTTGAGGAGAATCTTGAATCTTGAGTTTGATTCCAGGTTCCGGTACAGAGTAAATCATTTGGAGGTGTGCTTATAACTAATTTCGATTAATTTCATTCACACAGCAAAATAAACTCAACCAATTCTTCCAACAAAAAAAGCGTAAATAATATTTAACCCGGCTTCAAGAGAAAGCTGTGTAGTGATTATTGGATAACCGAGAAAAGGTTGAATAAGCACCCTTCAAGTTCGCACACAACTAAACAGCAGGATAACAGTTGTATAGAAGCGTAAATGTAAATGCAATAAGAGCTTGTTCCAACCGTTCCAACAGCCATAAGAAGCTCACTAAGTTCGCCAAATTTGCTTGTATAGAGGTTGAGTAAAGCTTGCCTCATATCGTATAACGTTTAAATACAGCTTGAGGCTGTATAAATGAAATGAGTAAAGCGTTTACATTGTAAAAATTGTGACTTGGGATGCTAATGCTCATATGTTATTGTGGACCGGTGATCGCCTTTAGTTACTTTTATATCTCGTACGCGATTTGTTGATAAATATCGAATACGCCATTTTGGAAAAGTAGGCGAGAGTCACAATGGCCAATGCCGGCTTCAACAATACTTTACCTATTTTCGTCAGGGGGTGAAGTCTTGAGCGCCCAAATCCGGCAATGCACTCAAAGACTTCATTCACTCCCTGCCGATAATAGCAAATATTATAAATTAACAATATGGTTCACTTCCAGAATTCCCATATATTTCTGAAAAGACGCATAAGTAATACCCTCTCCCGGTGAGAAAGGTGACTAAAAACATTCGTGATCTTATTATTTAAGCGTGTAATCAATTCATTCGTTTAGTCAAATAAAAGGTGTGGCAAACAGTATTAGCTTTCTCATGCATGTTACACGCCTACCCTGACGTCATGACATTGTACTACGTTCAGACAATAGTTGATATTAATAACGTAATAACGTTATATAATATGATATCA